ATATATATTATTCATAGTTAGCGATCTTACCTGGGAAAATTATTTCGTGCGAACACCGCATGCAGAGATGCATGTGTTGTCCGATCTCAGCCGTCCATCACGGGTTTGGTGGGATTTTTTTTTTTAATTTGAAAGTGGGTCCTGTCAAACCGGTAATTCGGGCTGTCAAAAAAGCTTGTTGTTCGCGAACAACTCGTGTTCGACTCGTTAAGCAGCTCTAAATGAGCCGAACACGAATAAGTTTTAAAAGCTCGAATTATAAACGAGTCGAACACGAACAACTCTTTGTTTGCTCGTGTTCGGCTCGTTTTAGTCGAAATTAAAAAATAGTATAATTATTTATATAATGATATATTATATATATTTATATCTAAATTTAAATCATATCATCTCGTGCGGTAATGTGGTTAGTGTTTTTTTTTATATATTTGGTCAATGTTCGAATCTCATATTTTGCATCTATTTTTTTCAATTTAATTTTTTTGAGCCAATTTCGAGCTGAAAACGAACACGAATATTTAATTCGAGCCGAACACGAACACACTGTTCACGAGTCAATTTTGAGCACGAGTCAATTTCGAACAAGAGTTATTTTGAACTAACTGAACACTCAATTACAGCCCTACCCGTGATGAACGGTTGAGATCGGACACCGCATGCAAACGGTGTTTGCATGGAATAATTTTTCCTTCCCCGCCTCTATCAAATTGAAACATTTTTATGGCTGGTGAACAAAAAAGTTTGGCTGTATCGATTATTAGAGAGGCTTACATGTGAAATGCTTCAGATCAAAGTTGAATTTTATTTGAAACCGTAGAGGTGTTGTATGGTCCAAATTGAACACACATCTGAAGAGGTTTTATGTATTCACATATTTACCACTTAATATATTTTTAAAATATTTCAAACACAAACTTTTATATCTTATAAAAAATGTCACCTTTATTATAAAAAAATGAAATACGACATTTCAGTTGTGTGTGAGAGAGAGACTTATAATTATAAAAAATAATATTTTAGTGGTAGATTTGTAAATGCATAGGAATTGTGGGACGTATGTAAATCTTTTTTAATATTATTATTTATTTTTATATTTTGTTTAGTTTTATAATAAATAAATGCAACTTGATCTCTAGGGCACTTCTACGTCATCCTTCCTCTTTTGTCCCCTTCAAGCAAATCAGGAAATCAAAGGTCTATCGTGGGAGAAATTGTTCAGCCCCGCAGCTAGCTAGTAAGAGGAAGGGATACTCTCTCTCCTTTTGGCTGATTACTTCTCTTGTGGAAGGAAATTTATTAGGAGTCGCATTTTATAATTTATATCTAATTAAGAAAGAAAAAAAAAGAAAAGAAAAGCAAGCAAGCACTTATTTTTCTCCTTGTCCATTTCCTTTGTAACATTATTTCTCAGATGTATTTTAATGATAGTGTTTGAACCTAAAATAACTTAACTATTTTGTTGTTGTTGTTGTTATTATTATTATTATTATTATTATTTTGGTGGGGTCGAGGGAGGGAGAGGAAACATATGAAAAATTATTTCATGCGAACACCGTATGCAGAGATGTACGTTGTGTCAGATCTCCACCGTTGATCACCGCAATGATATATTTGAGTGGGCTCCACTTTTAAGTTTTTTTTAATTTTTTTTTTATTGCATCGACAGTGGAGATTGGATGACCTACAGGAAATTAATTCATTTTTAAAACTTTTAAAATATAATAAAATAAACATATAAATTACAATTTTTTGTTATTTTGAAATAAAAAAAAAATAGAACGCGGAGATGTTTATTGCAATGGAATAAAAATAATGTTATACAAATTATGTATTATTAAAAAAAACTTTTTAGCAATCCGCATGATCAAAATCTATTTAGGCTCTATTTGAGGTTAGTTATCGTAAATAAGAAAAAAAAATGTTTGTAGGATTTTGGGTTTGCATAAAAAAAATTATAAAAAATATGCATCCTAAAAATATCCTAATTTATGGCACCACAAATAAATTAGATAAATTATAGGATCATTTTGACACTTTCTTAGGGCTATTAACGATTCAATTTGGAGCCGAGCTTCGGTCAATTCAAATCAGCTCTAATAAATTCGATGCAACATTTTGGCTCGTTTTTCGACTAGTTTAAAATGATGTTCGATTTATACTCGCTAACTTCACAACATTAACATCATTTTAAAAAATATTGGGATAATTGCTAATTTTTATTTTATTTTAATATGTTAAGTTAAATATCTAAATCTTAAATTCTACGTGAAGAGTAAATAAATCCTCAAAAAAGAAAAAAAACACCGAAAAAAAAAAGGAAGCCTTCGTAATGATGGCAAAACCCAAAATCTAGAGTGACCCTATGCTTCTACGAGCTGTGGTGCGGCGGATGCCGGAGCAATCTCCGGAGATCTGCGCTACCCTTCTACGGTGGCTACCGCAGCGACAACAAGCTCGATGGGCAAGTGGGGGCTTTCCGCGCGGCCGGCCTCGGCCTACCAAACCTGGTTTCGCCGGTGGTGAGGGCAAGTCAGAGTGGTGGGTAGTTGACGGCGAGATGCACGAGATAGGAGATCACGTTCCCCACCGAGAGCGCTTTGTTATACCTAGAGATAACCTTCCCAATCGCCGCCGCAAGCAGATGCGCGAGCAGTTCATGCGCCGCACTCGCCTCGTCCTTAAAGAATCGGTTTGTCGTTTCTCCCTCCCTGCTAAACTTCCTATCCAAAACCTTTGGTTGGAAATGGAACGCTGATAAGTGAGCATTTGTGCGATTGGTTTTGAAGCAAAATCAGGAGAAGGTTTAGAATCGAATTTGGTTTTCTGTAGTTGAATTTGGGTAGTACGAAGACAACATCAAAGCGTTGTGTTCGTCGACTGATATAGATTTAGCCATTTATGGTTTTCATGTCTCTGTAAAATAGTGACATCAAGGAACAGTGATAGGGCAAAAAGTCATCCTAGGGTGTCATTGTAGAACTTATCAAAGGAGCGACTCTTCTTGCATGAAGTCAACAAATTTTTAACATATTCGCTCATTTGACATGATATATACAAGATTGCGTTGTAGGAAAAGATAGAGGGAAACTTACGCAAATTGTTTCTGTAGTGAATTCTTTTGTTATCATGCACATTTTTTACGCCAACGTCGTAGTTTATAAAGCATTTGAGTGGGCATGATTTGACTTATGCAAACCGTTTCTGTAGTTTATCTGGTAGGAACTGAGGGAGAATTCACTGTTAGTGTTGAAAACGATTGTTGAACTTTATTAAAAATTGCGGGAAATAACATTGTTAAAAATTTATGTGATACTATGTTTTGAAATCATTTCATTTCATGGCCTTCCTACAGTAAATGCAAAACCAACTAGCCTCATTAATGTGTGAGGTTAGTAAACTAATGGATTTTTTATGCTATTTATTCTAAACCATTCAACTGTCTCATCTAACATTTAGCACTAATGAGTTTGCATTGAAGAATTCATTATTTGCTAGGCTTGTGCAAGTAACTATTAGCTTGCACTTTATTTGTGCAATTGTGTAATTAGCTATATAAAAGTGAAAGGTTTCAAAATAGTTCCCTGGCTATTTGCAGGAGCTTATTTTAGTCCCAGAGTTTATAAAATTGCTCATTCAGTCTTCATTCTTTTTTGAAATGGGCTGAAATAATTTCTATCGAGGAATATTTCAGCCCTAATTTAAAGAATATGGGGACTAATTTAACGCTTTTATAGATTCCGGGGCTACAATGACCTCATCTAAAAATTCAGGGGACTATTTTTACACTTTACACCTATATAAAATAACTGAATATCTTTTATCCTAATTAATGCTCAAAGACTATGCTTTTGGGTGATCTCTTGAGCCTTATACATGGAAATCATTCTCCATGCCTGACCTGCTAGTTGATGAGAGGCAATTAAATACTCGTGGCTTGTCAGTGCAACTTGGGTAAATACCATGCAGGCTGGTGAGTGTCCCATAATTTATTTTTATCAGGGTTTACTAGTTTGGATCATGCATGTACATTGTTTTGTTGTTTGATGACAAAAGTTAGCTAGAACAATGCTTTTGATTTTCTTTCGTTGGCAGGAGCATGAGCCTTGGTGTAAAAGGTACATGGAACTATATAATGAGCTTAGAGAGAATTGGGAAAGGCTGTACTGGGATGAAGGTTACTCAAAGAAGGTTGCTGAAGATCATGCTAATTATGAATCTTCTGAGGACGATGACTCGGACTTTTCACCTTATAGGTATGCTTGAGATAAATAGGAATTGTTTTATTAAATTCCTAAAACATTCTCCTGGAAAATGCCTATGTTGTATCTCTGCAGAGATGACTTGAGTCAATTGATCATAACCATTGTAATTTATAATTAGCGAAGGGTTATAAATGTTTCTTGAAAGGACCAATCTAATACTCAAGGAGATCATTTCTTTAATTAATAGTTGGTAATGTTGTCTCCAATTATACAGTGATTACACTTTAGATTTGACAAAAATATTTGCGTGTTACCATTCCTTCTTGATCAATAGTACACAGTTCAAAGTTTTTGCTCATAGTGAGAAAGAAAATTAGTTGCGTGGTTGATATTTAACTTTTCATTGAACTTATAGTGAGGTAGGGATGGTTATGCATTTTTTTCTTTTCAGCCTATAATTTGGAATATTTTTATGTACATGGGTTAAGGTGCCCAAATTGGAGCTTTTTTAAGGAATGCAGGGTTTGGCTGGCAGTATTTTTTTTTATTTTATTTTTTTTGTTTGGTTGGCAGTAGTTGAATGCACTTAGTTCTTCCTGAAAATATTGTTCATGTAATATTGTACATTTACATGAAGCTAACTACACATTCCAACATAGGATAAGTACGGTGGCTAACGCAGGGACAA